GGATCTGCCTACATGTTTAGAGGGCAATTATTTGCTATCCTCCCAGCTGGGTAGCCTCTGTTTGCCCCTCCATTCCATGTGCTACCCTTCTCCACCTGCTCTGTTTCCCAGCAGGCTGCCCTCTCTGGACTGTGTGGGCTGGCCCCCTGTTCACAGGCCAACAGATGGGTTTGCTCAATAGGTAAGTCCTTCTAGTCCCTGGCCGCCTCTCTGTGGGGCTGCAGGTCGACAGCATTGCACTTTGCTACCCAAGGTTCTACCCCTTGGTCGTGGGGACTCCCCCGTCTGCTGCCCCTTCAAGGCTCAGAATGTTATGCTGGGGTCCTGCTGTTGTTAGCCCTCTGGGTGGTTTCTGATACCTTGCTGTTTTCCCTTGAACCCTGTCCTCACATTAGAGATAGTCCCCTTTGAGTGACACTCGTTTCCCACCAGGACCCTGCCGGAAACATCAGCCACAGGCTGAAGATGCCCTAACCTTGTTCAGGAGGGGATCCTTGACTCCCTGAAGAGGGAGACCCACTCCCTCCCCCAGAATGGATTCTCGCCTCCATTTTCTCCACTCCGCTGCAGAAGAATTCTGCCCCACCCCTCGTGTCCAGCAGAGCACGGGCCCAGGGGGGATGGCAGGTGCCACGGAAACTGTGGGCGGGTCCACGGAGTCCACGACTAGACACTGCTCATTCCATACTCACCAGCCGGTAGTTCCTGCCAGTCTCCTGTCTGGAAGTGTTTGCCACCACAAGACAAGGAGCAGGATGGACAGAGAGTCTGCTGATACTATCCACTTATTCCCGAGTGGGTCCAATCCATAATCACCTCCAGGAAAGTGGTGCATGGGGCCCACCCCTCACTTCTTCCCGTCTGTCATGCACAACATGGGCCCTACTCCTGACCCCAGCATTGGCCTTTGCAACTCCCTAAGACTCTCCTCCTCCCTGCCTTCTGATCACCCCATCCGCCTAAATGATCTTTTCTTGGGTCACCCTGACAGGGAGGAGCTCCACTGACCCTCCTGCTTTGCTCAGTAGCCTACTGATTGATGTGCTGGGAAGAGGGAGGCTGCCACCATCTTAAAAGCCAGGCAGATACTTCCACATACATGCCCAGAATCTTGTTGATTTACCAAGGCTAGCCTCCAAAGAACTTCTCTTTGCATGCTCAATTCCAAGGGTTAAGAGCAACACTGGGATGCCAGCAGGTAGCTGGTCTGGATCATTCCAGTCTGGGGCTCTTCTCTATTTCTCCAGGTCTCCCCTGGGGAGCCAAGGAGGAGTCTGGCCTGTGGCCCTGCTTCCTGTGGAGGAGTCTAATTATGGCTCTTTGGGAGGGAGAGTCCTGAAGTCTTGGCACTAGCAAGTCTTGGCATTAAGGTAGATTAGAAGGCCTGGCCTCTGTTTTCAAGCCTGACATTTGCTATTGGGTAATATTGGCAAGGGTGTTCCTTTGCAGGGTCTTAGTTTTCACACCCGTAAAATGGGAATATTGGACCAGGTGATGATTGTTCAGTAATTCTGACTAGTGTTCGGGTGATGACAGTTTGGCTCCTGACATTATCAGGGGCCTGTTTGCCCGAGGTCACCATAGGGGATTTCTCTTTCCTGGGGACCGGCTGTCCTCCCAGGATGTTCTTGGCAGTCCCATGACCCACCCTGAGGTTCCTGGTCTGTGAGGCTGGCTTTGGGCCGCCCGGCTGTGAGGATGCTTGCTCGGGGATGGGGGAGGGTACTCACAATCTTCCCCGGAGTAACCGATGACAGTGTCTGGCTCAGGGCCCTTCCCAAAGTCATTTTCGGCCTGGACTCGGATCTCATAGGGCACGTAGACGGGGGTCTGCCCCACCACGTAGCGGGAGCCCCATACTGTGACGTTGTTCCACGTCTCTCGAGTTTCTCTCCGCCGCCACTTGACGATGTATCGCAGGTTGGGGCCAAAGGCGGAGGTGGCGTTCATGGGCTGAGCAGGGAGAGATTGAGGGCAGGGGTGGAGCCCAGATCCACCCACAGCCTGCACTCTCCTTCTGTGCCAGGCACCCTGCCCCAATCTGCCCAGCACTGGCCCCCTTGCGGCATTGGGAGAGCATGCCACCCTCACACTGAGTCCCCCGAAGCCCAGAGTCTTATGAATTCAGCAGCCTGTAGATTTTCTGTGGCAAAGGCTTCACCCGAGACCTAGTCACTCTGACTCCCAGAGCCACCCACATTTGTAAGTGCACAGGGAGCCAAAGATTTATTTTCCAAAAGGACTCTCCTGTGACTGATCGGTAAGCAGAACAAAACAAGAAAATCATAGAATATTCTTTAACATTGGAGAGGGATGAGTTTTGGTTTAGCCACAGCATGCTTACTGCTAATGAACTCAAAATTCCAGAACTGGCTTGGGTTCTACCGAATCCATGCGTGACTGTCCTGTCCTGCCCAGCAGCTAAGGGTGGGTGCAACTCTGTTCCTCATTTCCTAAGGGCCTAGTCCAGGAAGCTGTCCTCTACAGAGCTGTAGACCAGGAGCGGGTCCTTGCAAGGTCCTGAAGATGAGCCCCGGTGTCTTGGATCTGGGCTCAGCCCAGCTGCCCAGGCTGCTGTGAGATTGGGCCCTCAGAAAGATGGGGACAGCCATGATCCCACACGTTGTAGCTCACTGCTTCTGTTACTCATGGTGACAGCACAGAAATGTTAATATTTCCATGGCTGAATGTGCATCTCTCAGACTTGGAATTGGTTTAGAAAAAAAGTCATTTTGAGACCACATATCCCAATTCTGGTTGGGAAAACATAGTCAGTGAGCCAAGATGAAGATGGAATTTTTTTCGGTCCTGGCCCAGAGAGAAGCTTTTACATCCTCTCGTTCATTCTTGGACTAAAAGAAAGCCTGCACTCAAAGCAGCTCGAGTGCTGGTCTCCTCTCCACCCCCAACCATCTCCAGTGGGAGGACCCCAGAACACACCAACACTAGGCACCGATGTTTAGGCTAAATCTTTTTTAGACCCCTCCTTCGCCTAGAGAAGTCCATTTTCGTTTGCTGGTACTCTCTGATTTTGCCAGACTAGCTGTCTATGTTCCTCGGTCACCTCTGCTCCCATCTCCTGTCTGAAATCTTGCTCTTAGACAATGCTCCTGTTTTGTCCCTGGATGTCCAGTGCAGAGAGTGGCCTTGGGGCCTCAGGGGTGTAAAGAGCGAAAGGACTCCCAGGCGCTCAAGGCCAAGAGAGCAGGCCCATCGAGAAGTGGGCTGGGAGGGACCCTTACCGTCCACGTAATCTCCATGTTGTTCTTTCTGGTGCCTTCTCCCTTCACGTCGGCAGGATTGGACTCGGGGGCTGGAACCCAAGGGGATGCAAAGTTCAAGCCCGATGTGTGTTATGGGCACAGTGAGCAACTTCTCTCCCTTCTAGCTGACCAGCCCCTTCTGTGGCTGTCTTTCCTCAGCATTTCTCTGCACACTATCCCATAGGCAACCGAACTCATTCTGTGGTTTTCTCATGAGGAGGATGTGCCTTCCTAGCTAAGACCGAACCTCTCCCCCCTCCACCAAGCAGGGCTAATTTCTTTTGAATTTTAATCCCTCACTAGACAGCATTTATCATAAGGCTTTCCATACTTTGGGTGGTCCCGACAGCCAACTCAATGTGGATTAATTATCCCCTTCATGGATTATCCACTAAATAAGTTTAATACCAGACCGGTTTATCCCCGGCATTCAACATTTTGGGGGAGCAGCTCCACTCTCAATGGGCTGGTATATTTTCGGAAATCTAAACATTACCCAAGAATGATAGGAAAAGAAATCTGCCATAACACCAGATTATATATTTCTACTACAAATCTTTGCCATAGCACTTCCCTTTAGAGCAGATGACCAAGAATTATTAAGGCTATTAGTAATAATAACCACAGTTAGCGTTGGCTGGGTGCTTACAATACGCCAAGCACCACGGGAGGTACCCAAACAGCATTTTCACACCCAAGCCTCCCGACGGACCCGTGATGGAGGCGGTGTTGCTATCCTTCCCTGTCTCACAGCTGAGGAAGCCCAGCCTTGGAGCGGTTAAGTGACCCGCCCACGCTCGCGTGGCCAGGAACTGGGGGAACTCAGTGGGGCCTCGGGGCACCCGGGTTCAGCGCGCTGGCCGTCAGCCCTCGGGTACTCACGCGCCCCGCTGGTCCGGTAGCGCTCAGAGGGGAGGCTGGGGTGGCTGCTGCCCACCTCGTTGATGGCAATGACCCGGAACTGGTAGTTGACATATGGGGACAGCCGGAGGACGGCAGAGTTGACACTGCCTGGGAACTTGGAATGGTCATGCCAGACCCCGGGCTGGAACTGGTCCTCTTCAAACTGGACGACGTAGTCTGAGTGGGCAAGGAAGACAGCGCTGTTTGGGAGCTGAGGTAGCGGAGTTCTGCGACGTACTCCCGCATGGTTGCTGCTAGTCTTTACACTCTCCCTTGGGTGGACCAAGGCACAGGGAGAATTTCCTCCCCCGACACGGAGAGGGGAACCAAGGCCTGCATGTGCTCCGTGAATAGCTCGGGGCACGCATCAGGTGAGGTGGAAGCCGGACCAGAAACCGGGGCAAGGCCTCTGGCTGCTACCACAAACCAGGCTGCCATCCATCCCTCTTTTCTGGACTGGAGTGCAGGGCCCCTGGCTGACCTGTGATGGGGCTGTTGTTATCATCCCCTGGGATCCAGGTCAGCCTCACGCTCCTCTCGGCCAGGTCCGTGAGCTCCAGGTCCCGGGGTCGGTCTGGCCGTCCTGGGAGCAGAGGAAGAAGACACCACGCGGGACTCCCCAGTTAGAGCCAGCCTGTCCCTGTGCGGGCCCCAGCCTTGGACACTGCCCTATGACAGGTCCCTGACGGGCCGAGGTTGGCACCCGCAGGAACCAGCCCTGGCCTGCCTAGAAGGGTCAGCACAGGGACCACCCCATTCCCTCAGGGGGCCTAGGAAGAACAAAGAGGAGACTTCAAATTCTACCACCCCAAAAAAGCATGAAAGGATGTAGGTAGGGCACAGAGAAAACCAGGACCAACCCATCCCATTTCTGTGGCTGTTCTTAGGGGGTGAGCATTTGGAAAACGCTGCCCTCTTCATGAGACCCATGCTTGCCACCTATAGGGAAGCTGGTGAGGAAGTGTGGGATTTGGTCTCATTTTCTCGGGATGATTACCTTCTACTCTATGTGCCAAGGCTTCGAGGGGGCAGGAGCCCAGGGGTGTGTTTGGAGCTGAGCAAGGCAGACCGGTTAGGAGCGTGGGAGGGACAGAGGCAGAGGACCAGGCCAAGGAGGACATAGGGACTTAGAGTTTCAGCGACGGACAGCAGGACAGAGGAGCCCCAGCAAGCGTCCAAACAGGGCAGGGGCAGCACCTTCGGGGGCTCCAGTCTCACTGGACTTCCTCAGTGGGTGTAAGGGCCATCCTGGCCTGGGGATAAGGCCACCTCATCTCTGCCTAGTGGGGTACGCGGGATGTCTCCCCATCCCGGCTGCTTGAACCAGGTATTTCGGTACTCTGGCTGGTTACTGGGAGGATCTGGAAGGTGGGTCACGTGAGCCCACACTTGTGTATGTGTGCACGCGTGTGAAGGCAGACTGTGAAGGGGTGTGCAGCAGCAGACTCGGGGAGGCTGCAAACAAGATGGGCCTACAGGTAATCTGAAGTGAGTGGGCTTTCCCGACTGGACCCTCCATATTTCTGAGGCCAAAGCTGGGGAGAGAGAACAGGCCCCCACAAGGAAGTGGTGAGTGTGGCCAGAAGTAAGGGATGGGATGGATCGGCAGCCGAGGACTTCCGAGCCCAGCCCATGAAAGGCGCAGGAAGCCCGAGTGGGGCTGTGGCAGGGCTGCGAGGTGAGGGGTGTGACCCTTGAAAGGAATCGGATTTGGCAGCGAGTGGCCTCCACACGGTACGTCCTGTCCTGCGGCACCTTCCTCCTCAGACCCCACCCTCCCAGCCACCTAGAGAGGGCTTTGGCAGGGGTCCTGTGATTAGTATGAATTACCTTTGGGCAGGGCAGCCAAACGGTTAGTTGGAGTGGCCTGATCAGCTGCAAAGGTAAGACGGGTTATCCGGGTTAGCAAGTTATCCAGGGTTACAGGTGTTCTAAAAGGATGGGAGTAGGTGGCCGAGGGTTGAACAGCTGCCCTGAGCAGAGGGGTACTGGGCACAGCTTCACCTTTGCTTCCATGGAGACCCCCCCGCCCCGTGCTTCCTCCACGGCTGGCGGGGTGGAGGGGGGGACTTGTCTCCTTCCCATCCCAATGCCACTGTGTGCCTGGGACCACCATCCCCAGCGACCATGCGCGGCCGCCACCAGAGAGACGGAGTGTACCAACGGTAATGGCAATAGGATGCCCAGAGAGAGGACAGAGGTGATGAGGGCACAGCAGGGGCTGTGCGTCCCTGGATGGGCAAGACGATCTTCCCCTGGCATTGGGATGGCTCAGTATTTACAGTCTGGCTTAGACACGGGCAGGACATGATGGAATCAGTTTGCTAAGTGCAGAGCGCCCTATAAAATCCCATCAGGAAACAGGAGCAGGGTGGCAGGGGGAGGGAGGCTAGCCGAGGGTGCTGGCGGGACAAACTCAAAATGCAGTTTTGCTTCAACAATGGGTTCTTTTAACTGGTACAGAGGTCAAAGCGATCACAAGAAGAACCCCCGTCCACCTTCCCTCTCTCGTTCACCCATCCGTTGAGGATTTGGGCGAGTTAATGGTTCCACTCAGAGGTGAGGTGCCTGGCCCACCTTGCTGGGAAAGGAGCGGCTTCCTAACCCTTGGATAGAAGCGGGGAGATCACCATGGCTGCCCAGCTCACTGGCCGCAGGCGATGGCCCGGGACCTGCCCAGGGCCCACGGCTCCTCTGGCCTCGGGAAGGGGTGGGGTGGGGGGAGTTCAGAGCACGCGTGAGCAGCGGCAGTTACCTAACACAGTAAGGTAGGCCTTGGCCAGGTCCTGGTCCAGCTCAGTGCTGGCAATGCAGGTGTAACTGCCCTGGTCCCGCTCGGCCACACCGAAGATGGTCAGGGAGTCGTCTTCCTTCTTCATCCTGCAAGGGCACCAGGGAAGGGCTGGGAGGAAGGCGAGTGGGCCGACAGTGGGGGGGGGGG